GTAAGAACCAGGTTACAATGATTACTATTTATTTGACTTGAATATTCCAATGGACCTTTGCTAGCTCAATGGAAAAAAAATATGAATAGCTACTTGGTTGAACCTCAATTATTATAAATTTGGAAAAGGAAAATAGTGAGAACAAAAATTTTGGATCTCTGGAAAAACGAAGTACAATCACAGTCATTTTAAATGAAGCTCGGGAAGGTGTTTAATTTCGACACCCCAATTGAATAATACCTAAACCTTGACTGACCTTTCGGCATCCAAGATCCTCTGAATACATTGCGCTTTAGGCGACTTCCAAATCCTGTATAAACACCAATAACAGCTAGGAGCTTGCGGCTAGGGTCAGAAGATCCACTCTGTCGCAATTGATTCTTCAGGTACCCTTGACTCTTTGCTAATGTTAAATGCATCTCAACCTCCACAATCCTTCTCTCCAAATCTCTTCATAAAATTATGTAAAATTTTAATTTCAATAGTATGCAAAACATTAAGATTGGAATTTATATTTGAAACTATGTAATTAAAAACAAATACTACAACGAATGAAATGGAAACAAAATGTCCAACCCACACAAGATAGACATGGGGGGAGATCATAAAATAAAATAAAAATAAAAGAACTTCGTACTTTCAAGATCATAGAACGGAATATTACAAAAGAAATATAGGGTTTCATATAAGAATCAAGAAGGAAAAATTAGGCACGTACTTGCAACCCAGAACTTGCAGCTTATCTTCAACGCTCAAAATCATGGGTCTCTGCATACAATAACACGCATCTTCAGGGGTTAAGGTTACCAAGCTAAACAATAAATCACAAAAACAATAGTTGCAGAGGGAATTATAGCTCGATGAAAGGAGGAAATACGATTACAAGCAGAACTAGAAGTATCGGATACTAGCAATTGGCTAATACGCACGCAATATTTATTCAAAATTTCAATTCCATGATACATTGAAGAAAAATCTGACGATGCGAAATGGAAACTGGCAATAATTTCGATTAGAAAGTACTCGTAATTAATATACCTGGGATGCATTCTTCTGTAAAAGGCTAGTAAGTAGTTTCCTATTTTCTGCATCCTGCCATAGCCTGAAGAAACCGAAGCCTTAGTAAGCGGAATCAACGAATTTATAAGAGGAACACAAGTGAAATGCAATAGATTAGCTAAGCGCAATACTAACAGTCAATTTCAATATCTCATTTTTTCAATCCGGGGGGGATGCATTTCTTGTTGATGATAAGCTAATGAAAAATTTTGAATAGAAAAAAAGTCCAAAAATTAAGAAGAAAACAGCTACTGATGCAGGAAGTCGAGAGCCAATGCGAAGATAAAAATACAACTGCATGATCGATCATCAGGTCAACTTCGATTCGAACACGAAAAGCAATCGGATGCAATAAGAAGATCCAATTCTACCCATACAACACCGAGAATAAAATTGCACTATCACAGTGGCTCAATCGCCCAGATTCAGATTCTTCCTTCCAATACTATCACAGGCGCAAGATGAAATTTAACAGGAAAAGAAAAATGGAAACAAGCATACCTTCCGGCAACATAAAGCCAAGCAAGACAAGAGAAGAATGCCATAAATATGGAAGGCTTGAAGGTCTGAGAAGGCTTGGATCGGCCACGCCTCTGAGGCTTCGCCGTCGTCGGCAAACTCTCCATCTCGTCAACCTTCAGGAGCAAAAGCGAGATGGAGACAGAGAGAATTGAATCGACAACGCAGAAATGTTGGTGGCGTTCAGAATCAATGAACCGATACAGAGACAAATCGGCATAAAAGGAAACAGAAACAATGCAGGAATTAATCAACAATGAACACTGCCTGCCAAAAGGAAGGAGGAGACAGAGTTGAGATCTCATCTAGGCAGTAGAGCCAGTTCAAAACTTTCGAACAACCACACAAATGGGCTGGGCCCGGCCCACCGCCAGACAAGCCCACAAGTCGCCTAAACCTACCTCTCTTAATGATCTTAATTAACATTAACCAAACAATTAATCTTCCCCACTCGGATGAGTCCACGACTTTTATTGTTATTAATTTATTAAAATAATTTGAACTAATTAAATTTTCATTTATTAATAAATATATTAAGAATAATATATTTTAAATTTTAGATTTTTTAATTTCTTTATCCATCAACTCTAATAATTATCTTCATTAATTAATTAATAAAATTAAATAAACTTTTAAGAGTAAATAATTAGTATAATAATTAAATTAGAATATATTAATTTCATTATTAATATTTATAAATTTAATTTGAATCAATTATGATATATTAATAATAAATAAGTTAATTATACTCATTCTCCATAAATAATTAATTATAATTATTGAAAACTAACAAATCCTAATTAAATAATTAATTATACTTAAAACATTGTTAGCTAACTAATTATTAATTTTAGTAAATAAGTAGTTTCGTTCCTTTAATAAATTTTTATTTGTAAAATTGAATTAAATATAGTCAAATAAAATTGAAAAACAAATTAAGAGGGATTAAAAGTTAATTAGTTTATTTTTATTAAGTTTAATTTTAATTTTTTTTATTTTTTATTTTTTATTTTTTATTTTTATTAATAAATGTATTATGAATAATATATTTTAAATTTTATAGCATTCTGAGTTGTTAGAGTGAATATATATGTAATAAAGATTAGAAATTTGAATATTTAATCTGAAAAAATCTATTTAAATAGTATTTGTTCACGTGAAGTGGTAATATGACCCACTCATGGAGGGTCCACGTGTGCTAACCAGCTGGCTGTGATTTTATGTGGAATTGGAGTGGTAGATACCGTCAGGGATGTGCCTCTATTTATGCTCACCACAAATAGTTATTTTTTATAATTACTTTTTTGCCCCGTTATTTTTTATAATTACTTTTTTGCCCCGTTATTTTTTATAATTACTTTTTTGCCCCGATATCTGTAGCTACGTACAAGATAAGTTGAGCGAGACCCGATATTTGCATTATTAATCAAATGAATATCAAATTCATTAAAATCTCTATCTACCGACACTGTCTAGGGCCACGAACATGTGAGGGTTGAGTATCCATGCTTAAGTGTTATGGGGGCCTAATTTGGTTAGCAATTATTGAATTGACAACCCCCAATCTTTGTCGATATATATATAAAAATAAGACAAAGTAAGCTCGATATGTCACGACTGGTTGGTTGTAACGTACCACTTGCATCCCTTTCAATTCATTTAACGTACCCACTACTCCAAAAACACGGTATGTAAAATCACTGTCTCTACAAAACACGTCTCCCGTGAAAAAAAATTCTTTTTATGGTTATTGTAGGAAGGAGCAACTGCAAAAATATTTCAATTTTGTATCTCGTATTTATTAGATGGTACGTAGGTTTTTGATCATATGTCTAATGGTTTTAGCTACTCGAAACTTGCCTATACACTTGTTAGAAATCATAACCCTCCATAATGGTATGATATTGTCCACTTGATTATCCTCTTAATTAGCCAATGTTAGACTCCCTCCCAACAATCATCTACTCGAATAAAGTACACTATAGAGCCTCCCCTGAAGCCTATGTTGTAGCCCTCGAACAACCTCCCTTTAATCGAGGCTCGACTCCTTTATTTGAAGCCCTCGAAAAAGTACATCATTTGTTCGACACTTGAGTCACTTTTGACTACAACTTCGAGGCTAGCAACTTCTTTGTTCGACACATGAGAATTCGATTAGCATAACTAAGTTAAGGGCATGACTCTGATAAACATGTTAGGAATCACGAACCTCCACAATAGTATGATATTGTCCGCTTTGAGTATAAGCTCTCGTGGTTTCCCTTTTAAACTTCCTCTCATGATTTTTAAAAAGCTTATGCTAGTGAAAAGTTTTCACACCTTTATAAATAATGTTTCGCTCTCCTCCCGCCTCGTGTCCACCTTTTTCGAAGCTCCGCCTCCTCGTTGGCACATCGTTCAGCGTCTAGCTCTGATATCATTTGTAGCAACCCAAGCTACCATTAGCAGATATTGTTTTTTTTTTTTTTTGTTTTACCTTCCAGTCTTTCCCTCAAAGTTTTTAAAGCACATTTGAGGTTTCTACACCCTTATAAACAATGTTTCTTTCTCTTCCTCAATTAACATGAGATCTCACAGGAGATGTATTTCTTACTTGTAAACCCATGATAGTTTGCACACCCTCATAAAAAATGTTTCGCTCTCCTCCCGCCTCGTCTCCACCTTCTTCGGAGCTCCGCTTCCTCATCTGCACATCGTCTAGTGTCTAGCTCTGATATCATTTGTAGCAACCCAAGCCACAACTAGCAAATATTGTCCTTTTTGGGTTTTACCTTCTAGTCTTCTCCTCAATGTTTTTAAAACACATCTGAGGTTTCTACACCCTTATAAGAATGTTTCATTCTCTTCCTCAACTAACGTGGGATCTCACATGAGATATATTCCTTACTTGTAAACCCATGATAGTTTTCATGCCCTTGTAAAGAACGTTTCGCTCTCCTCCCACCTCATGTCCACCCTCTTCGAAGCTAGCCTCCTCACTGGCACATCGTCCAGTGTCGGCTCTGATATCATTTGTAGAAACCCAAGCCACTGCTAGCATATATTGTCCTTTCTGGGCTTTACCTTCCAGTCTTCCCCTCAATGTTTTTAAAACCCATCTGCTACGAAAAGATTTCTACATTCTTATAAAAAATGTTTCGTTCTCTTTCTAAACTAACGTGGGATCTCATAGGAGATGTATTTCTTACTCGTAAACCCATTATCATCCCTTTAATTAGCCAACATAGGATTCATTTACGAACGCGGAGGGAGCTACTACTACTAGTTCCATTAGATACCTTTTCTCAAATAATTTGTGATCGACAAAATCCCAAACATTTTCCACACAAGAATCCAAACATTCCAACTAAGACCATTTTCATCCTCTTCTACACGCCTCACTCTTCACACTAGTTTAAATGAAACCCCCCACCATCCCTCCAAACTCAATCCCCTGAGAGCCACCCCATCAAAAAAATGGCCTCCAAATCCCTCTCTTCACCCATCCTCCTCCTCTCTCTCCTCCTCTGTTTATCCCTCTCCGCCGCCTCTCCCTGCAACCAGCCCAAAATCAAGCCGTCGCCAGCCAAAAAGAAACCGGCAAACCCCAAAATCATCCGCCCGCCGTCGTCATCTCCGGCAGTACAAACAGCTTACTGCCCAAAAGACACCGTGAAATTCAGTGTTTGTACCAACATTCTCGGAATCGGCAGCCTCATCGGAAGCCCTGTTTCGAGCAAATGCTGCGATTTGCTTGCTGGGTTGACGAATCTTGAGGCGGCGGCTTGTCTTTGCACTGCAATTAAAGCCAATGTTCTTGGAATTAACTTGGATGTTCCTGTTTCCTTTAGCTTGCTGGTTAGCTCTTGCAAGAAATCTGTGCCTGCTGGGTACCGGTGTAAATGAAGCAGATAAGAACACTGTGATGGAACCTTCTGGAAAGTTCGTGCTTTGTTTTGTGGATCTTGTTCGTTATTGTTCGTTGTTTTCGTTTATGTTCTTGTTTCATTTGGTCGTGTTTTTTCATGTTTCGTGGGTTTATTAAATGTTCTTTTTCCCCTCTTGATTTCACTCGTCATTACTCTCGTTCAGTGTTAATAAATTTGTGGACTTCTTTCCATCAAATTCGTTCGATTTCTCGTTTTGCACGTGTATATCGTTACTTTAAATGTAGAGTAATATACGTTTAGACACTTAACGTCGATAATGTCGGTTAGGAAGAGCTTTCCCCACTCTTATAAAAACATGTTTGGTTCCTCTTTACTGATGTGGATCTCACCACCCACAATCTTCGTTTCTCTCTCTAACTGGTGTGGATCTCACCATCCACCGTCTTTGCTAGCTCACCCCCCAGTGTCTAGCTCTATTACCATTTGTAACGGCCCAAACTCACCTCTAGCAGACATTTAACGTCGATAATATTTGTAACAGCTCAAACTCACCACTAGTAGAAATTGTTTGTTTTAACTCATTACGTATTATCGTTAGTCTTACAGTATTAAAAATGCGTATCTTAAGAAAAGGTTTCCACCCCTTTTATAAGGAATGCTTCGTTCCCCTCCTTAACCGATGTGGAATCTCATAACCTACCTCCCCTGGGGCCAGTGTTCTTGCTAGCACACCGCCCAGTATCTGGCTCTGATACCATTTGTAACAGCTCAAGCCCATCATTAGCAGATATTGTCTGCTTTTGTTCCTTACGTATCGTCATCAGCCTCACGATTTTAAAACGTATCTGTTAGAGAATTTTCTACACTTTTATAAGAAATTATTCGTTCCCTCTCCAACTAATATAGGATCTCACAATATCTCATAACCTACCTCCCCAACCGATGTGGGATCTCAAAACCTACCTCCCTTGGGGGCACAGTGGTTTGGCACACCGCTCGATGTCTGGCTCTGATACCACTTGTAACAGCTCAAGCTCACTATTAGCAAATATTGTCTGCTTTGGTTTGTTATATATCATCGTCAGCCTCACGATTTTAAAACGTTTCTGTTAGAGAGAAGTTTCCACGCTTTTATAAGAAATGATTCGTTTCTCTCTCCAATTAATATAGGATCTTACAGTACCTCAACGTTAACAGCATACATTCAAACCTATGGTCATTTCGTTGAAAAGCTAGTTGTAAAGGTCCAAAGGCTCAGGCTAGTTGCAAAAGTGTCTTGACTCCACATTGGCGTTGAGATGCCATCCTCTCCGGATTTGAGTCAAATCATCATTTTCTCGACTTAATTGTTCAATTTTAATTTTGATTATCCAAAACGCTTCAATTAACATCAAGTTGATTGATCGTTATTAAATAGGCAAATAAGAACATGAGTAAGGATATTAACATGAAATTAGACACATAAATAGAATGTTTTAGGTGATATCATTAATGTCAACTTCTCCCAGTAACACGTTTTAGTGATTTTGTTTCTATTTTCTACCATGATCAGCTAGATCTCTCTCAATTTGTTCATGATGAACCCTATATAGTAACTTTATTGGATTAAATCATGAACATAGGCTCTTTACAATACGATTCGAACCTGTTACCCGAATATCATACAAAAATCCCATAGAAAAAGCGAATGTTCGCGGCAAATCGGAATCGCGGCTTTATCTCGCCTCCCTGTTTACGATATAGGTCTTCCCCGCCATATCTGCCGTCTGCGATTCTCTTGTGATTCCTCGTTGAATCACCGATTTGATTACCTCGATTAGGGGAAATTAGGGGAGAAATTTCCAGATTGATCGCCTTCGCCGCTGCCGTAGGGAATCGATTGGAGCCCTCCTCCTCGAAAATCGGTATATTCTAAACATCTTGATCTTCGCTAGTGTTTGTTTTAAGATTATTGTACGCTTTTTTGCTTTTTCTGTTTCTGATTTGATATGATATAGCTTTCGTTGGAAGTTTGGTGGATTTTTGTTTTCTGTGTTCATAATGGATGCGGCACTATTTGGCCATAGGATGCTCACATGGAGTGACGTTAGGGTATGACAAGACAATGCCATCTTAGGCTTCTTTCCAAAATCATCGGATTCTGATCTTATAGTGTGATATTTGAATTGAATAGCTCTCTAGTGTTCTTCTGTGATGAAATTTTCTGTTTGAAATTATTTCAATTCTTGCACTGATCCTCCTCTTGAAAGGTTCATTTGCATTATGATTGCTGGCATTAAATCGATTTCTGGACTGTTATCTGCTAGAATTGCCTTTCATTTACGTTGAAAATGTAAAACGTCTTACCTAAAAAGCAGCACGAATTTCTTATGTCGACAAGCTGTTCCCATCTCCTGTCAAACATGTCGCTCACAGATCTTGGGGAATTTGTCTGTGCATAAAAATGGATAAACAACCATCAAGCCTTGTAACGTTTGTCATAAAAGATCCCAAGTTCACCGGGTACATATTGTCTCTTTGAACTTTCTCTTTCGGGCTCTCCCTCAAAGTTTGTAAAACACAGCCGATAGGGAGAGGTTTCCATACCTTTATAAAAAATGTTTTGTTCCCTTCTCCAACTGATGTGGGGGATCTCACAATCTACTCCCTTCGGAGCCCAGCGTCCTCGTTGGCACACCGCTCTATGATATCATTTGTAACAGCCCAAGCCTACAACTAGCAGACATTGTTCTCTTTGGACTTTCGCTTACTGACTTCTCCTCGAGGTTTTTAAAACGCCTCTACTAAGGAGAGGTTCCCACACCTTTATAAAAGAATGTTTCGTTTTCCTCTCCAACCGACGTAGGATCTCACAATTTATCTCTCTGGGAGTCCAGCGTTCTTGTTGACACTCATCTTTCATTCCAATCAATGTGGTATCTCGCCATTTGAGTGAAGATCACGTCCTATATCAATGTGTTCTTAAGTTTTTCTGTCGATGCTTCTTCTGGGTTCAAGTCCTAATGGCACATTGATGTCGATAGAGCCTTGGGCCTACGAAGTGGGCTCGTCTTCTTTTCCTTAAAAAAGTTAGTAATATGCATATACACTCTTCAGATATGGAAGTTACATGCTTTGGCCCATAAATCATTATATCTTCTCTGGTTGTGGAAGTAGATTATGAAAATATCCACAAGAAGCCCTCCAGCAGGCTATTTTGGCGCAGAGGGAAAGGATGTATTGGTTGTATTAGTTGGGATGTACAGTCAATCAGGATGCTTTTCAAAGAGGGTTTAATCAAGCACTTGGAGAAAAGGCCAAGAAAGGCGTGGTTCATTGTGAACTGATTGTGGGCTCCAATTCATTAACTCATCCTGAAGGCTCAGTGAAACAGTACAACTGATAAGCTAGGCTGTCTTTCTTCCACCACCTCTCTTTATTACCCTTTGCAGCTCATCTCGAATTGTCGATCCTAATAGTTTGACCGCTAAAGGCTTATCTCTCAATTCAGTGTTGCCTAACAATTGTCTCTAGTGTGCCCTCCCCCTCCCTGTGTCTCGTTTCAACCCGATACAGCATTGGTCAAGCCTTTTCGTTATATTTTGATTGTGAAATCTGTTAGGAGACTAATTGTGGGTATGTTTCTAGCTTATGAAGGATGAGGTTGAGTTGTCCAAAGCTGACAAGAACTTGAATGGGATGGGTGGGCATAGAAGATGAGTCAATAATAGATGAAGAATCCAGGAAGTTGCTATCAGATATCTTCACAGATAATGCTAGATTGAGGAAACCACTCTATCATGCTGTCAGAATGGAATGATTGGATCCCAGAAATTTGATTGGACGGAGCGGTCATTTCATAAGATGCTCTTTCTTGTAAGTAAATTCATCATCGCTTAGTTGATAGAACAAACAGATTTTTTTTTTTGAACCCAAATATCTCCATGGAAGATCAGGAAGGAACACGAACTGGATCCTCTTCATGTACAAAATCATGGGATTTTTTTTAATATCAGGATCTGAGAATACTCTGTTCATTCCATTCTAGATTTTGTTGAAATAACATGACACATAATTTAGCACTAAAGAATACTACACAATGAACCCACCCAATTCATTCATCTCTCCCTCCCTCCTCCCTCCCTCCCTGTTAGCTCAAGCATCATCTTCTCAATCTCAGCCTAAGCAGAAGCACGTTCGTCGTCCATGTCCACACCCACCTGCATCGACACGACCTGTTTATTAGCTGTTGTTCAAATGTCTAGAGGATGGTGGTAGAAATCATTCTAAGTAATCGAAAATGCCATAGGAATGGAATTCAGCCATCATGTAGAGTAACAGCCCTAACCCACCGCAAGCAAATTTTGTCTCTTTCAACTTTCACTCAAGGTTTTTAAAACACCACTGTTAGGGAGAGGTTTCACACCCTTATAAAAAAATGTTTGGGGGATCTCTTTCAACTTTCACTCAAGGTTTTTAAAACACCACTGTTAGGGAGAGGTTTCACACCTTTATAAAAAAATGTTTGGGTTCTACTCCCGCAACCAATGTGAGATCTCACATATGAATGAAATCCAACAATCATGATGCAACAACCTAAGCTCACCATTATTAGATATTATTCTCTTTCGACTGCTCTTCAAGGTTTTTAAAACACGTCTACTAGGGAGTGATTTACACACCCATATAAAGAGATTATCCTCTTTGGACTTCCCCTCAAAAATTTTAAAACGCTAGGGAGAGGTTTCCACACCCTTAATGAAAAATTTTGTTCTCCTCCTCAATCGACGTGGGATCTCACACATAGAACCTCCATGAATAGGAAAATTGGAGAAATCAAATCTTTGAAACGATTACTCATTCGTTCTGGTTTCTTGTTTTTTTTATTCGGCTTTAACATAATATCATTACCAAGTTGTGGTAGTAAAAAACAGAGCATGCATGGAAGAAACAGAGCTTCGAAACTGTACCTTAAAAACAACCATCCAGTTGGCGTGGTTCAACAAGGATATAAAGCGGCTTTCCATTAAGCCTGCGCTGTCCCTTAATTACCAAAAATTTCAAAACCCTAAGTATCGTTACCCACACAATTAAAAAGTTAAAAAAACACCCTAATTACCTTAACTTCGCGTAATCCAACCACACAACCACATTCAACCACTTCAGCACCCATCCGTTCTACCAACAACACAGGAAAAGAAACAGTAAATTAATTATAAAACTAAACGAAATTATTAAGATCATAATGGACCCATCAAATCTTTAATTATCTAATTCAAGATATCGAGGCAAACATAATAATGATGAATGATAATCATTTTCAACAAGAAATCTTAAACCCCATGATTAGTAATCCCATGTTTTATGTTCTTGTTAAGAACAAAACCATGGATTCCACGACCTTGCTTTTAAGGTTAGCAAAGCATCAAAAGTCAACAAAAAAAACATCCTTAAATTAAGGAATCAAAACACAAAAATAACAAGATTATGTTCTTAAGAACAATTCCAAGAATCATAACCAGAAAACTGACAAAAAGACATACCCAGAAGCCTGATTGCTGCAGATAAGGTTCCGCCAGTGGCCACCAAATCGTCGATAATCAATGCACGTTCCCCTGGCTTCACAGCATCAATTTGCATTTCTAAGCAGTCATTTCCATACTCCAAATCATAAGCTTCTGAAATCACTTCCCCTAATAACGAACACAACAAAAAACACATAAAAAAAAACAGAGCATTTGGGGTGAAATATAAGGGTTTTTTGCAGAAATTCTACCTGGAAGTTTTCTGGGTTTTCTTAACGGAACAAACTTTGCTCCAATGGCTAACGCAATTGATGGGCCAAACATGAACCCCCTGGCTTCTACCCCTGCATTTCCAAGTCAAAACAGAGCCTTTTAATGGGAAAAAGAAGATCATAATTTCTTAGGAAAGCGTTTTTGTAAAAGGGTAAAGAGACGTGGACAGCAAAGTACAAGAAGAAAGTTTTAACTTTCCTTCAAAGAACGCATCCAATAAACCGTGTAAATGAAGAGAGAGAAAGACTAAATTCAGTAATAAAAAAAAAAAAAAAAAAAAAACAGAGCAAAAAACAGGGGAGGATGAGAAAACCTAAGAAAGTTGCAAGAAAAAATCAAACAAATAACAAAACATAGAGAATCCTCAAGCATTGTCGGCAACACCAACACTAATCCATGAGGTATGGAGAAAGAAAACCGAACCAGCGACAACAGAGATGTTCATTCCCCTGTAACGATCGACAAAAATGTCGACAGTATCCTTAAACGCCTTATGATCCAGCAACAACGTTGTAATGTCTTGAAACATTATCCCTATCAGACAACAAAAAAAAACCCCAAAACATTCAATATTGCCCAGAATCTTCATTTCCATCAGAAACCCACAAAAAAGGCAAGAACAGGGACGAACCAGGCTTGGGGAAGTGAGGAACTACTCGAATGGCTTGAGAGATTCCTTGGAGCCTTGGGTCGCCCTTTAAGCCATTCTCTGCTGCAAACATTTTTGTTTTGGTGTTCCTGCTGTGGTTTGTTGAACTTGGAGAGTGGGTTTGTGTTTTAAAGAAGAAACAGAGGGTTTTAATGGAGGTTTTCAGGGAAAACCAGAATGAAAGGGGGAAGAAGGAGAAGGGAAGTGTATGGAAAAGATCGCTCTTATCTAAGATGTTGGAATAATGGAAGGTCTTTTAATATATTTTGGGGGTTGTTTTGTTTTGTTTATCAACGTTGTCCCGACCATAATACCTTGCTACACATAATTAACAACCTCAAATTTAGCCACGCGAAACCATCCCACGTGTAAACCACGCCTCTCTCTTCCACTGAGAAGTCAGAAGACTTAAATAGACCACTCTCTCTTACGTCTACGATTAATAGATATTATTCACTTTTAACTTGTTACATATGGTTGTCTATTAGAGAGAGATTTTACACTTTTTTAAGACATGTTTTTTATCGCACAATCCACTTCCTTTCATGGTCCAGTATCCTCGCTAGTACATCGCTCAGTGTCTACCTTTGATACCATTTATAACAACTCATATCAATTGTTGGCAAATATTTTCCGTTTGGGTTTGTTATGTATCGTTGTTATTCTCACAATTTTAAAACGTGTCTACTAGGGAGAGGTTTCCACACCCTTACAAGCGTATAAGGAATGCTTAATTTCCCTCTCTAACCAATCTGGGAACTTCGCACATGTGTTGTTAAACTAAGCCAAAACTTTTAAAATCATCCTTATTCTTACTGTTTCACATATTTCTTTAGCACGAATGTGCACTTATATTTTCTGTTTGACCCATGTTAGGTTATAAGAGAACTCGAGCATAACTTAATTGGTAAAGTTATATATTACTAATCAAGAGACCATAGGCTTAAATCTTCTGGCTCGTAGATATCGCTCAAACAAAAAAAAAAAAATCGTATTGGGTTAGGTTTAGGATTGAGTAAAAAGATAATTAACATTAACATATTGAAGTCAAAGATTCACTATACTAAAAAAATCTCGAGTCAAAATAAACAGAAATTATAACCGTTTAAGTTCACCGCTGGCAGATATTGTCAATTTTGGCTCGTTAGATTTTCACATTTATTATTTTTTTTAGTGAAAACTATAGGAATGGAAATTGAATATTGAATATTGTGTTAAATAATAATAATAATAAATAAATGATTAAAAGTTTGTTAGTGTGGATGTTCGAGTCTTTTGGGACATCAAAAGAACAAAGAATCCGACCGGAGGATTAAAAAGTGGAGCCCCGAGATTTTGACTATCTGACTCCAAATCCAGGGTCCGACTTTTCAGGGAGACCCGCCCGCCCCGCCTCACCCCATTTCCCTTTTTTTTTTTAATTTTTTTTTTTTTTTTTTTTTTAATTTTTGTCTTAATAATTTCATAACATTCCAATCTTTTTCCAAACCCAATAAAGATTCGTACAAATACCTTTTTTTATTTTTTATTTTCTATAAACAACTTTCCATTACAATTTCGTCTCATTTTATATAATCAAAACATAAATAATAAATTACACTCTTTTCTATTTTCTAATAATATTAAATTTCTTTCTAAATATAATTACTAAAACGACACTACCAATAAACAACCGAACACGATTTTTTCATTTAAAGAAAAAAAAAAATATATCGAGCTAGAGATTCAAATCTAACATTCACTTTCCCCCCGCTCTACCTTCAACTCTGTCACCTCTCCCGTCTTTCGATAAATTAGGTCAGTAATTATCTCTTACAAAAATCTGATTACACCTTTCGTCTTGAAATTGATTGTTGTCAAGGTCAATTAGTCATTCGTCTATAAAAAAGCCGATGATACAGTTTTGTCTTCGTACACAGCTTCAATCTCTCGTAGTTTGATGGCAGCAGGTTTGTGATTGTGCAGCACTCACTTCTCAGCAACAAGTGAATTAAGCCTATTCACCTACAACCAAGCAACGTACGCTCGAGCCTCTTGCCCCGGTTCAAGAACAAAGTTTTAAAAAACATGGCAGAGAGATCTTGTTGTATGGGAATGTAAGCAAAAACCAATAACAACAGCTTACTACATATACCGATCGGGCGTGGAGCTCATCCATATCACTAATATCTAACCTAAATTTAAAAAAAAAAAAAAAAAAAAAACATTTAGTATAAGACATTTATAGCTCATTTATTTATGTATCTACAAAATAAATAAATAAATAACAATAAATAATTAGGTGAAATTAAATAGGCAAAGATTGGATGGGCTGCCCAAAAAATCTTTTTAAAGAATAAATATGGATGTGATGTATCGTTCACGAAACGATTTTGACAATTAAATAAAGCATTTATTGCAAATCAAATAATAAATTAAAATATCATTACTTTCAAATTTAAATATTAAATTATTGCAACTCTATCCATTAATATTAAATTATATGATATAATAGTAATACACAATTTTAATTTAAAATGTTATATAAACATCCTCGAAAACTATATCATTAATATATGTGTGACGAAGAATAATATACATAATGATTAAAAATATATACATATAAGATTCTTATTCTTTAACTATATTGATCTTCAATCATACGATATCATAATTTATTTGACATGACTACATCATGGAAAGATTTTTCTCTCGACCCATGTTTCAATTGAAGTCAACTTTTTCATAGTGGTCACTCCACGATCGTTCAGTGCTACACGGACCAAATAAGACATTTCACAATCAAATTGCATAAAGAGAGATCGTACAAGTATCGTTTCACCAAAATTATTGTATCGTAGGTCAACTTAAATTGGAATATAAAAATTTAACGAGAAAATATTTAGGCCATGTGATAACTATGAATCAGCCGGGAATTTAGGGTAATAACTCAGACAAAATAAATTCTCGAGTTAGATTATTTTTTTTTTGCAATAAATTACGGGTAATTGTTTGTCGTTGTGCTTTTAATAAAATTAGGTGAAATTATAAAATTAATATATCTAAATCGTTAAAATATAATATTTTAGATTAAAAAATTATATTTTTTATTTATAAAAATAAGTATACTTTTTTATTTTCAATTATATGATAAAAAATTATTGAAAAATAAATTTGTTTTTTTTTTCTTTTAAGAACAATTATATATATAAAAATAATAATAAAAAAAAGGACGTGATGCCCACGCGCGGGGAATTTAAAAATGAATTGGAATGAGAAAAAATGGACACAGCTTTAAAAAGAGTTTCAGTGAATCTAAGCAAAGCAGAGCTGAAAAGATGTGAAGATGAAGAAACCTTATGAAACCCACAAAAGTTTTGGAATCCTATGTTTCTCAATCTACAATAACCAAAATCACCTGTTCCCGACTCTACGAAAGTCGTATAAACACGGCTCGGTTGTTCGTGGGTTGAGTTGTGTTAGGTCAAATTAAGACTTTTTGGACATATTTTTAAGTTGGGTTGGTTCGGGTCCTTAATACTTAATTCGAGTTGTTCCCGTATCTACATAAAGTAGTATAAACATGGCACAGTTGTTCGTGAGCTGAGTTGTGTTAGGTCGAATTAAGATTTTTTTGACACATTTTTAAGTTGGGTTGGTTTGGATCATTAATAATAAATCTGTGTTTTTCCCGTGTCTACATGGAGTAGTATAAACAGGACACAGTTGTTCGTCGGTTGAGTTATGTTGGGTCGAATTAAGACTTTTTTTAAATATTTTAAAGTTGGGTCAGTTCGAGTTGTTCCCGTATCTACACAGAGTAGTATAAACACGACTCAGTTGTTCGTGGGTTGAGTTGTGTTAGGTTAGAAATCACGACTCTCCACAATGGTATAATATTGTACACTCTGACTTGAAAATGCATCTATTATGGCGATAGTTTAGTCCTACTCTGACTAGTGCCTAGCACTGGTTGGTGATTGACTTTAATACCATTTGTAATAGCATAAAGCCAATTGCTAATAGATATTGTCTGCTTTGATCCGTTATTTATCGCTGTTAATCTGACGTTTAAAATCATAAAATTGACGACGATGGATAACGGGTCAAATTGAGTAATATTTACTGAACCGGTAAATGTTTAATTAAAGAATAATTAACCCAAAGAATTAGTTAAATTATGGGGGGTAAAAGTGAAAAGGTAAAAACAAGAGGGTATTCCAAAAAAAGGCGATAGAATTAGAGGGGGATGACAGAGAATCACAAGTGGCAGTAGATTTTCAGAGAGGGGTGGTCCCCATCACAGCTAAGACAACGTGGCACTCCAAATCTCATCATACCGTGTCCTACGTAGCATGATGAGAAGACCTAACCCCCCCCCCCCTAGACCTTTTTTTTACTTTTGTCTTTTTCTGTCCATTGACCAAACTATCTCTTCCAAAATTTTCAAAAATTTAAACCCCGTGGGGACCACTCCAACTAGATACGCTTGACGTCATCCTTACCCCCTCATAATGCCCAATCACCCCTTTCATACCCGCCACGTCCCCACCCTAACATCATTCATCCCATTTTTACCAATTTATTTACATTTTCTCCCTAATAATTATACTTTTATTTTTTTTTTATTTATGAATCAAAATTTAAAATAGATTGAGTTATCATGTTCTTAATTTTTATATTATTAATGATTAAAATATCATAAATTTTAAATATTAAACCTAACATTTATTATTAACTTTAAATATTATTAATTTGAATGATAAAAGTTGCACATCAGTTAATTTAGAGAATGATTGTAAGTTTATAAACAAAGAATATTATTTACATTGGTATGAGGTATTTTGGGAGAGCTCAAATTAAAGTCAAAAGAGCTTATACTCAAAGTGGACAATATCATGTTATGTGGAGAGTCGTGTTCAACTAACTAACTAAAAAAACACACAGATCAACCATGCAACTGACTAACTAAAAAAACAGACAAATCAACAATGCAACTGACTAACTAAAAAAACAGACAGATCAACCATGCAACTAACTAAAAAAACAGACAGGTCAACAATGCAACTAATTAACGGCAAAAATAGATAGATCAACAATGTAACTAACTAACTAAAAAACTAGACAGATCAACAATGCAATTAACTAAAAAAACAGACAAATCAACAATGCAATGACTAACCAAAAAAACAGACAGATCAACAATGCAACTAACTAAAAAAAACAGACAGATCAACAATGCAACTAATTGACTAAAAAAACAGATAGATCAACA